ATTACCTATTAATTGTTATTTAAGCGAAATTACTGAACTTAAATATACAAGTTTGATAAAAATCCTCATTAAAGAAGAAAATTTCAAATGGCATTTAGAGGCTTTTGCATCTGAACTCTTCACATAGAAACATTGTTCGCGATGTCTGCCGTCAGATATTCCCGTCTCGTCAATAACATGCAAGTTAGCACGTATTTGTTATAAGGGGAAATGAAACGTCCATATTTTCGCACTGGTAGTGCTAGTAACGTTAGCTACAGCCTACATATACTAGGAAAAAAGTGTCTCCGCTCTGACATCCTTCAGGGAAAGCATCGCCGCTTCCACACGTCTAACTCCCGGCACAGCATGGTAAACGTGCGCGCCGGTGATGCAGAATTGACCACGCAACACATGCTCAAGATCAACCTCTTGACAACAGATGGACTCTGACACGGACAAGTCCGCAGACAGACCCATCTCGACACGGAGGGCATCGCAGGACAACAGCCACACTGACACCTGGTAAGTTAGCGTTGCAAACCCGCTCTCCGCCCCAAACCACCACTGACTCACTGTTCTACACAGCAACGTAACTTACATGTTATTGACGAGACGGGAATATCTGACGGCAGACATCGCGAACAATGTTTCTATGTGCAGTTTGTCAACATATAACATGAGACGTCGTCTTTTTGTCTAATATCTGTACCTAACATTAGTCGTTCGCGGTCAAAACACTGGTATAAACACAGTTTGATGTCGCGATTTTCAATGCCCAGAGCCTGTTAAACTTGAGCCAACCAACCCCGTGACGTCACCTGCACAATGGCGGCGCCCTGGCGGCGAAAGATACAACGTTTTTTTCTTTTTTTCTTCTAAATGTTTACATTTGTAATGTTTCTTATATAATTGTTGATTATATTGGAAATCCATCTTGTAAATCATGTAAACTTGATTCACCGCTTCATTTCCCCTTTAAAGTTCGAGTCCTTCAAATATGCAGTCTTTAAATTTGGACACAGCTTTTGTATTTTATATTTCTATGGAGCGGAACAATTCTTTCTATGCACACCCCAGATACACACATCTGGTAGATGTGGATTCAACACAGTATTCAACACAGGATTCAATCTGAGGTCGTTCAACCTCTAATTACTATCAACATGTCATATTTTTTTTGAAGAATGGATCGCATCACTGTTTCCTTGTGCTTTGTAAGGCAGAAGTTGTTGTTGTTTTTTTCCAGTGAAGCTAATTTTAGGTTTACTGCTTATCTTATCAGAAAGTTTCTTCCTGTTTAACCAGATAATTCTGTTTTTATTTTACTTAAATGTGATTGGTGTTTGAGTGTGAAACTGATCTGGTCTGGTAAAGGATATCAGAGATAGCAGGACATTTGTGGATTTTATCTCATGGGATTTACTGCATATTAATAATACTACTCTAGACTTCTCATCTCTCATATAGTTTACCCTGAATTGGCAAAGGAAAAAAAAATATATATTTTGGTAATAGATATTTGACATGCTGGTCAACAAAAAGATAGAATGTCCCAGATAATGAAAAGGAAAATCTAGATTTAAATGCAGGAATTCTTGGAAAAGCTCTTTGAATTCAATATAGTTTTGAAAAACCTTCTCAAAACAAGTTTAAATTACTCTGAATGTAATAAAGTAATAACCTTATACTTTGACTACATGATAGTGTACACATCCTAATCATTATTTTCAAGTAAATACATATTTTTTAAAAACCTTAAAACACGAAAGCATGTTTTTTTCGTGGTTGCAAGTTGCGAAATTTCACAACCTGAAACAATCACATTTAAGCCACTGAATTAGTTTAGTCCGGTTATACATACAACCGCGAACAGCACATGTTGTCCCTGAGCTCCGTAACGACATCTCTCATAAAGATTTGCGTCTTTAAATAGTAAAATAATTCTCCGAAAAACAGCTAGCCTCTTCGCTAACTAACACACAAAATACCATTGGAATGCTACTTCCGCCGCCTTACCGGAAGTTTCACCCACTTTATTTTTTACAGGAGCGCCCCTCGGAAACTTGTGGATACCCGAATGTCAATCATTAACTAAAAAAAGTTGGTTTAGGGTTTAGTTACCCTTTAAATTAAATGAGAAGAGGTAGACATGCGAAGACCTGAGCTCTCTCTTTCTCTTTATGAATATCTCAATGTGTCTGGTGATAAACATCTTCCTGTTTCCTGTTAGAGAGCATTGACATGGAGATTTCCGGAACAGACAGGTGTGCGTTTTGTTTGAGTGTAACAATGTGTATTTGTCTACAGTTGCCACTAACACAGCTGTGCAGGTTACCACGGCAATACCGACATGCATCATTCATTTCTGTGTTCATCTAAGGGTCGGCCAGTGATTCTCACCGAAAACAATAAGCAGAGCAGATCCGGTCCGTCTGTATGAATGCTGATTATGATGATAATACATCAAAACAACCAATCTTATGAAATACTATAGGCTATTTCAATATGCATTTACAATTACTCTCTTAAGTTAATTTTGACTGTTTACATCGGCTCATGACATATTAAGCAGTGGTGTGTGTATGTGTGTGTGGTGTTCATGCTCTCTATGTGTTGGCTGATGGCTTTATGTGCCCCATATGGAAGAAATGGCCCCTAAAAGCTAATGGACCCTGAGACCCTTATGCTGCCTGCCAGCTAAACACAGGAGCTGAATGGGGTCTGTTGAACATCTGTTTTGAGTTCAGCTAGTTTTGAGTTCATTGAACTCATTTAAAACTCGACAGCTCTGAATTCATCAAATCATCTAAATCAAACAGTTGTGAAGTTCATGGATGATTTATTTACAGTAGGCTATATGCAGCGCTCACAGTCTCTATGGTGTGACAATGCCCTCTGCTGGTGAAAACTACACTATGACCGCATACACAAAATACAGAGATAAATTTGATCATTTATCAAGTAATCTGCCTGTCTGTGTCTGTTTTGTACAATTTACACACATAAATACTTATATATTTTATTAAATATACAACATGTAGGCTACTTCTTAAAATACTAATTTATATTCTCTTTTTAACTAACTATTAAGTGGTTAATTTATAGCCCTGATTTAACTTTTACAACTTTGAAAAACCGCTAAAGAGGTCATGTACAAAAATACAGAATTTCGTTTTGGCTATTTAGCCAATATATTCAATTGTTATATAGGCATAATATTTGCATTTACTATTTTAATTTTCAGTATTGCTCTTGTATGTATACACACATATGGTTATTTTCTATAATTTAACCCTCAGGTTCACTCTCAGAAAAAAGGTACAAAAACTGTCACTGGGGCTGTACCTTTTCAAAAGGTACACTTTTGTACCCAAAGGCTGCATATTGGTACCTTAGTGGTACATATTAACACCTAAAATGTACATATTAGTACCTAATATGTACATATTAGCACCTAAAATATACATATTAGGACCTAAAATAGACATATTAGTTCCTGAAATGTACATATTAACACTAAAAATGTACATATTCACACCTAAAATGTACATATTAACACCTAAAATGTACATATTAGCACCTAAAATGGACATATTAGCTACTGAAATGTACATATTAACACTGAAAATGTACATATTAGCACCTAAAATGCACATCTTCGCACCTAAAACATATTAACACCTAAAATGTACATATTAGCACCTAAAATGTACCTATTAACACTTAAAATGTACTTAATAGCTCCTAAAATGTACATATTAGCACCTGAAATGAACATGTTAGCACAAAAAATGTCCATATTAGCACCTGAAATGTACATGTTAGCACATAAAATGGACAAAAGTTTACCTTTTAAAAAGGTACAGCCCTAGTGACAGCTTTTGTACCTTTTTTTCTGAGAGTGTTGTGTTTGGGTCTTTTTTACCTGGAGAGGATATTCTTTTTCTTTCTCGTTATGAAACAACGCTGTTTTGTTTTTAACGTTGGTCGCAATGGACTAAAACTTTCCGACTTTACTATTTCCCCAAATATTTGGAGATTTGTTTTACACATTTTAGTGATTTTTCTCCCAACCTTGTTACACTTGTGGTGTTTCTGGTCAAAACTGACTGGTCTTCAAAACTTTGCTTATAAATCTCTTATTACTCTATATTATGAAACATTTTGTATTCAGTCTTTTATTCTTTCATATAGCACAGGTTTTGTATTTATTTTTTAATCTGATTGATCACAGGCCTTGTTGATCTGAGCTTATGCATCTCAGTTTTTGACCAAACATAGCAGTAATTTTGGCAATATTGAAAAACATTTACAATGCAATTTATTACACTAATGTGGTTACCTTTTAACAAGGAAGTTTGTTTTGAAATGCATTTATCTTGTACAAACTGTGTTTTATCTTGTACAAAATGAGTTTTATCTTGTACAAAATGCAACAAAGTCACACTTGTGGTGTTCCCAATTAAAAATAACCGGCCTAATGCATATAAATCTCTCGTTATGCTATAATATCACCAGAAATTAGATTCAATCTTTTTGTCAACTTGCTTTCTCACAATTACTGTATCTTCACTGATTGTAGGCCTCATTTTTGAATGGGAATTCACATCAAACTGGTTAAACATTAAATCACTAATAAACTGTGCAAATTATTTTCATATTTTGTTAAATATGCACAAGTAATGCTTTTTTTCCTTCAAAAACTGAAGTGCATATAGGCTCAGTGGCCTACGATCAATCATTTCCTAAAAGAAATACAAAACCTATAATAATTGAAAGAAAACAGGATGACAAAAAGATTGAATCCAAAATTTGGGCATATTATATCATAAGGAGTGATTTACAAGCTATTTTTTAAAAGGCTCGTCATTTTTGACAAGGAACACACACTGTGTTACAGGGTTTTCAACACAGCAGAAGTGCCATTTGCTTTGCACATCACAGTAATATCATATAAACTCTTTTTAAAACAATCAATTACAATAACATCATTTGATAATACTTTTATTACCCTTTATTAACAGTAAAAAAAAAACTGAACAAGTTCACAGGATGAGACAATATCATAGCCTACATTATTTTGGAGCCCCTAAAGTTACATGAAGAAAAAATATGTGATAGGAAGAAATATTTGCCTATATGTCAATGCTTTTACGTTCTCTCACAAACGGTTTGCATCCCCCCGAGAAACTTGTGAGTTAATTACGAGGACACAACATTTCTTAGGTGAATGCAAAACTTTTTAACTATATTTCCTCCCATGCCATGTCCCTTCAGGGGCTCCATACATTATAACAACAATTACATAAACACTGCATACAAATTTAAACAAGTATCTGGAAGACTGACAGCTAAAAGCAGTAGATAAATACATGGCACACTCTTTACAAATAAAGGATCTATTGTTCCATGAGGAACTTTAACATACATTGAATTTTTCCAATATACAATAGGTTGTTTATAATTAAAATTAAGGTTCTTTAGATTTTTTTAAATGTTCTTCAAACTTTTTGAAAATGTTTCTTTTAAGAACTGTTCACTGAAAGGTTCATTTGGGGAACCAGAAGTGTTTTTGCCATGCCTTATGCACATAGCATATGACGGAGGTGAATCAGGCAGTGTTCCTCAGGATGAGCTGCACGCCGAGGCTTGACGGCTCCTCCACCGGCTGCTGAGACAAGTTATTGGTTTGCGGGATGGTTTCTACGGTACAGTCCTTCACAGGACACACGGAGAAACGAGACAACAGCGTCACAAGAACGGACTTCATCATCACCATAGCGATGTGTTTTCCCACACACGACCGCGGGCCTGATCCAAACGGCTGAAAGAAACGACTCGGCACCTTTAGAGAGAGACAGAAAAAGGTATTGCTCTGTGTCGAAAAATATAATATGTATGGCTTACAAAATAATAAATTAAATTTATTAAGAAAATGTATATAATATTAAATTTTTTTATATTAATCTAACCTACAGTATACTTAGGTTACTATTTTTTTTTTACAGTGCATTAGTTATACTAGTCCAAATACTTACTAATTTTCCTTAATTTATTATAATTTTACAATAGTAACAAAGCTTTTATGGTATTTTGGTTTAAAAAAAAAAAACTATAATTACCACAATGCATTTTTGTAAAGCTGAAAGAGAGATAAACATTGAATTTGTAGATTTTATACAACTGCTGTATTCAATTATATGTTTATGAAACATAATGCATTCGTTTTTAAAATAGTGAACATCGATTGTTAATATTTACTATATATTTTATGAATTTTCAATTATGAATTATCAGTAGGATTTAAATACAATAATAGTGTTCGAAACATAAGAAACGAAATAAATTATTTAAAGCTGCAGTCCGTAGTTTTTCCTCTTTGTCGCCATCTCTGTTCGAAATCTGCAATTGCAGTTATTTGCGGAATTATCAACTTTACGTGAGTTGTGCCTCGGCACGGCACTTGAATCCAATGTTTTGAGGAGAGTGTGCGGCTGTCCGCTGTGGATTCTGGCATTCGCAAACACAGATTATCTTTTTGGAAGTAGTTTCATCGAAAAATGTCATCTGAACAAGTAAGTAACATCAACTTTTGTTCTGACCAACTAAGGGGAAAAAAGCATAGCAGTAAATTGCACTGATTAAATATAACGATCGCTTATCATATCACATCAAACCGTGCAAACTATCCTTTGTTATCAAATTGTTAATGTTAACAACATCAGCATTGCGTGACTTGGGCCCGGTTGCAGTCTCTTTTTTTTCTGTAGCCGAAGTCCGAAATCTTTTGCATTTTACAACGGGTGAATCTATTGTCGTTTGAACCTTTCTGGATCTGCCATCAAATTGATAAGTTTACTTAAATCAAGTGCTGTGAGAAAAGGTTATAAATCTCCACCTCCAGCATCCTCACATGCAATATAGCCTACTAGCCGAGACTCCTTCTTTATGTGTACAGATGTAACTTAATGACACAAAGACATGCTCGAATCTCCCTCAGAAATCCACCAGTATCACTGGAGTTAAACACACTATAACAAGCTTACGGTTTTGAATCAAGCTAAGGCAAGCAGAGAGTTTTTAACACTGGCTAGTTATGTACTCGCTCAAATTTATTTTGGATAATTTGTAACCCCAAAAAATTACGGACTGCAGCTTTAAAATATGATACAATTAACATGGTATCTCTATTGAACAGTCTCAAAATCATTCTTATTCAATGATGACTATTGACTAATAGTTTAGCTTGAAGGATGTTTGTAAGGGGGTTTAAAGATTTAGACTCACCTTCTTCTGGAAGTTGTCGAGACTGAACTCATTCGGTTTAGGGAAGAAATCAGATCGGTGCATTCGACCCACGTTTAATATGATGTTTGTTCCTTTCTTCACTTTGTAGCCCTCGATGACATCATCGTCCAGCGCCCGGCGCATGGTGAAGTCCACGACCGGGTGGAACCGGAGAGACTCGTTGATAAAACTCTCCAGAATGTTTAACCTGGACAGATGCGAGTGCTGCAGGCTCCGACCAGCTACAAAACACAATCACAACATCATGTTTAAATAACCACTTTGAAACAAACATTGGCTACACAATCAAACATGGATAGTTCATCCAAACTGGAACATTCTGTCATTATTTATTTTAATGTCATTCCAATCCAAACTCTGAACTACTTTAATGATACTTTAAAGTGACACTATGTAGTTTTTGAACCTTCATTATACATTTCCAAGAGCCTAGTGATGGTACATCGACTTACAAAAGGTTAAATGACACGTCTGCCATAGCCTGATATGGTCTTTATCGCACTATGAAACTTCGGGTTTCGGGTAGGAACCGGAGCACGAAAAGAACTACAAAATTTCGACTGCTTTACGGCATACGTCATACCTTGTCTGAGTGTGCGTGCGCATGCGACAGTAGGCTGCAGTAGGCTAAATTATTTACGACAGCGGTAATGGACAATTCCGCTTCCAACCTGTAGGGCGACCGCAGAGGAAAAGTTCCATGGTGTTGCTTTAATGAAGTTTGACACTAAATGGAAAAGAGTTCCTCAAAAAGATTCTTCCACATTTTTCTGTTTGTGTAGGCCTAACACAGAATATTTCTAAAAGGTTTGGAATGACATGGTGAGGGTGAGTAAAGGATTCCTTTAAAGAACAAAAAAATGACATTCATGCAGAGATGTATTAAGTACTAGAAACCAGGACTTGAGTAAAAGTACAAGTGCTCTATCAAAAAAGTGACTTGAGTAGAGATTGAAGTGCTCTTAAAGCACCACATTAAGTAGAAGTACTAAAGTATTCAACATTTTTTGTACTTAAGTATTGCAAGTAGTTTATTTTAAAAATTCACTACTTCAGTACTAAAAGTAAAAGTACAAGTATTGTGTCAGGTAATTATTAAAGAAAGGCGTCAAAAGTTTGAACTACAGCAATCAAGTAAAGCGCTTTGGCGGGATACAAATTTGCTTTGGCGGCCGGCAAAAAAAAAAAAAAAAATTCATTGCAGGACAACCACTGCATTAGTTGTCAATGTGTGTGTCAATCAATACCATTACCCTATAAAACTGGCGAGCGATTTAGGCAGCATGAAAGCCAACTTGCAACGAATGATTCATACATTTTTTATAATTGTAACAAGTAACTAGCAGAACATTAAAAAAATATTGAAGTAAAAGTATTAAATTCATCGAAAATATCTACTGAAGTAAAAGTGAAGAGTTCAGATGCAAAAGCCTCTAAGTGCCATTTGAAATTTTCTTCTAAAATGATCATTTTTATCAAGCTTGTATATTTAAGTTCAGTAATTTCACTTAAATGGCAATGAAGATTACCTATTAATTGTCATTTAAGCGAAATTACTGAACTTAAATATACAAGCTTGATAAAAATGGTCATTTTAGAAGAAAATTTCAAATGGCATTTAGAGGCTTTTGCATCTGAACTCTTCAAGTACAGATACAGCATTTTAGTACTTAAGTACAGTACTTAAGTAGTTCTACTTCGTTACTATAAATCTCTGCATTCATGACATTTAAGTTTCATTAGAAAAATTACAATATATTTTTAGTTGATCATAAATGTTTTTTAGTGTATTTGGCAGTACAAAAAGGCAATAGAAGTAATTAAGAAATTATACATGATGTTGTAAATCTTAATCTTCAAGTCCTACCTCAAAAAGCACAATTCAGCTTATTGCATTTAATATAAATTGAAGCTAGAACACATTTTCATTGAATTGTAAATGACATGTGTTAATTAAGTGTGAACACTACGTTTAGTTTGCAATTTTTTGCATATTCTTTATATAGAAGTATATTATTTCCACAATAAGTATTTTTTTAAAGTATGCTGGAGTGTACTTTTCACATGGGGTGAAAGACAAAATGACTGTATCTTGTGTGTGCGCTCAGACCTAAAACAGTTTCCATTTCCTGCAGGATCTTCAACTCGACGTCCGGATTCTGTTTGAGTAACAGCAACATGAAGAACAGACTGATCGAGAGAGTATCTGGAGCCGCGATCAACATCTCCAAAACACACTGTCTGACGTTCTCAGCGCTCAGCTCTCCGTGGCTCTAAACACACATAGACACACAGGTCAGTCATTTTTGCTTCAAAGGTGTGTGTGTGTGTGTGTGTGTGTTTGTGATACTGGCATGTCACATGCACCTGAGCGAATATCAACTCTGCTGTGAAGTCGAGCTGGTCGAGTTTTTCTGCATGTGTCAGCTGAACTTTCTTCTGCTCGATCAGAGTCGTGATGGTTTCCTGTAACTCCTGACTGAAACACACACAAGCACACTATAAATAAATAAAACTCACACTATAAATAAATAAACCATCACTTTACAATTCAGTCCTAAACGAAGGAACTTCGAAGCTAGATGACAAAAAAACACACACAAAAAAAAAAAAAACACTGGTTGTACCAATATCATGGCTATCATATTTATATAGCATGGTATTTGTATTTATATGCATTTACACACTTCTCCAAAACAAAATGGCGCTATCATGAACTCACGCTTCTCTCTTGTGCTTCTTGTGCAGCCAGTCCAGTCTGAAGTACACGTCAGGTTTGATTAATACTGTCTGCCAGGTGTCAAAATATTTCTGAATCTTCTGAAGCAGATCACGCTCTACAACACAGCAGCAAGACTCAAGCTGTTAAATATGTTATTTAGTGAATCTTCAATGTATATCAGGAATTAAAAAGCAAAATTATGATCACAAACAGAGAACATTATGCTCGTGCTTATACAGTACATCCCAGACAGCAACATACCATCGGCCCAGATCCGGGCCACATCTGGTACATGTGGATTGTAATGTGGGCCGGATCTGGGCCAACACTATGCCAATATAGGCTGAACAAGATTTCACCACATACAACATGATCCTGGATTAACCTCCCCTATCTCACGACCAATTCGTATGAATTCGTACGAGTGATTCAAAAGTGGCTAATTCGTACTAATTCATACGACCTCACTCGTACGAATTCGTACGATTTGTCTAAACCCACGTGCCGGTTATGTTTAGGTGCGGGGTCAGGGGTAGGTCATTCGTACGAATTCATATGAATTGGCTAATTCGTAAAATATGTACGATTTAGCAAAATCGTACTAATTCGTACGAGTTAGGTCGTACGAATTGTTACAAACTAGCCACCTCCTGTGAGATCGGGTTGGGATTAACACGTTTATTCAACATTCCAATCAACCAATCAGAGTTAAGGGACATGTTTACAGTCTATGTAGGGTGACCACCCGTCCCGCGTAGCGCGTGCGCGCACAGCGCTTGAAGCCCAATTCATGCGTCCCGCAAATTGAGACCGTGTCACGCATAATCAATGCTTGCTCAAAAAGAAAAAAAAAGTCGGTCACTCTATATCCTCGAGACCGAGGCAGCCAAACGTTGTGCCTGAACACGTTCACGTCCATGAACTCATTCATATTTTGGGTGAACTGAACGTATTGTTTTACTGCCTGTCCCGATGCACGTGTGAACTCGTTCATTCTGGTGTCTGTGAACGCACGCTCTCTCAGTTTAATGGGGTGCCAGATTTCTATAGAGCCTTCCAGGCGAAAACCCGGCTAAAACTCACCGTAAACAGGGCTTAATATGTAGCGAAAAAACACCCAATCTGGCAACACAAGCCACCAGTGTCGCACAAAGGCGTCGTATATGATAATTTAAACGGATTTTATAACGGGGTCGGTGAAGATGGGAAAAATCGTACATTTCTGTGCAAACTTTGAACTTAACTAGTTCATTTTAAAATGTGTGAACTGAACTTTGAACTAGTTCGTGTAGAAAGTGAACTTCCCCAACACTGGTTGCCACTCCCACGTGACTCCCACGTGATGTCAACTTTTTCATTGTTGTCATGACAGCGCAGCTTCTCGTTCCGTGAACCTCTGGAGTTGTGAGTTTAGACTTTTTTTCGACTTTTTTTAAAACTGTTCCTGTGGTGTTGAGGAACTATAATTCCTGTTAATCCTATAATTTTAGATTTTTATTTATTTAAAGTGAATTAATTGTAATGAAAAATAAATAAAATTAAATAGCTAAAGTAAATCGTATAACACAGTCTCATCCCAAAAAGTCATATAACTGACGTTTTGGGACGTATTTTGACCATACGTCAATATCCGCCTTTTTAGGGCCCCCTTAAACGTCGGTAGATGGCGATCCCAGGCCGTCATACAACTGACGCTTTACCTTTAACGTCAGTTAGGTGACGGGTTAGGTTTAGGGTTAAGTTTAGGTATGGGGTAGAGTTAGGATCCCATAACCTCATCTACCGACGTTTAAGGGGGCCCTAAAAAGGCGAATATTGACGTATGGTCAAAAGACGTCCCAAAACGTCAGTTATATGACGATTTGGGATGAGACCGGGTTGAATCGTAAGTGGAAGTGCATCTGTCAATTTATTGAATGTTCAAAATATTCATCTTTATTTAGAAAAAAAATACACATTGGTTGGCCTATCATGAGCATCAGCATATAGCCTATCAGCAAAACATGTTTAGGGAATAGGGCATTATTAATGTATGTGCTAAGGTATGTGCTTTTTTTGAACAATTATTCATGTACAAACAGTAAGGCAATAGTAACAATTCTAGATATGGGTAAACCACTATCAGAGTCTGCCCGTGGGGTGGGGGCACCGCCGCGCCAAGCAGTGTCCCACATTGTCCCTCAGAAACATACCCCTTGTCCCCCCTTGGGCTTATTAGCAGGTGGTCACCCTAAGTCTATGTCAAGTTTAGGGTTAGGTATTAGGTGCTTCTACATCAGTGTTATTCACCATCATTTCCCTCTGATTTTAGGGATGCATTATGGGTAGGGGTAGGTTAAGGGATATGGTTAGGACAACATTTTCAGATAATAATGTTGCTCCAGGATCAACAAAATATCTTTCTCCGGGAACAAGTCTTTCTTGGTGAAATCATGGTGCCCGCCAAGATACATAGCAAATAAAACCCAGACAGCAACATAGTGTTGGACAAGATCCGGCCCACATCTGGTACGCATGGAATCCAAATGTGACCCAGATCGGGGCCGACTCTATCCGTACGTTCACACCACCGCCGGCGAGAGCGGCAAAATTCGCTCTTGCCGCTCTGTTAACGACGCTGTGGAAAGATTCATGGATGCTCTGATGCTCTGACGTAGATCGAATGCGTGGGGGGAAAAACGGTATTTAAAGGGGCCACAAAGCAAACAAGCATGTCAGTCGTTATTTTTGCAGAAAATTGATCGATGGAAATAACTTTAAAATTATAGTGACATGTTTGCTAACGAAATAAACAAATTAAAAGCCATATGTGTGTGGTGTGGCTTGTGTGTTCATGGTTAAGTGCTATTATAATTTGCATTCTCGTCAAAAAAAGTGTTCTAGCACGAAAATCTTGCCTATAAATAGTGTTGCGCGCCCTCTTATCAAATTCAAATTATCAACCTCCTATATTTTGCTTGGGAACTAATGTGGCCGGAACCAAAGTTTACAGGGATTCTCTCAAACGGAGCACTTCTACATTCCGATTGGTTGCCGCCGGTTGCCGCCGAACCGCGTCATTGCTTATTACCATAAAGTTTAACTGATTTCAACTCTGCTCGCCGCTCTTGCCGTCCGAAACGCGCCGCGCCGCTCTCGCCGGAGCTCGCCGCCGGCTCTCGATGAAAATGAATGACTTCCGGCCACTTTGACGCTCTCGCCGGTGGCGGTGTGAACGTACAGTATGTCGCTGTCTGGGAAGCATTTCACTTTTTTTTTTATGGTCCACTTTAGACACTCTAACTATTAAGTAACTTGTTATCTAACTCTCATTAGAGTATTAGTTGACTGTAGTAGAATTAGTTGACATGTAGTTGGAAAGTTACTTATAATTAGTAGAGTGCCTATAGTGGATCGTCTAAATAAAGTGTTACCTACAAAGTGGATAAGACACATGCCTTTGGTGTGAGAGACCCGGGTTCAAATCCACTGCGAGACACCAATGTGTCCCTCAGCAAGACACTTAAAGGGTTAGTTCACCCAAAAATGAAAATTCTGTCAGTATTTACTCACCCTCATGTTGTTCCAACCCCGTAAGACCTTCGTTCATCTTCGCAACACAAATTAAGATATTTAAGATATTAAGATCACTCCTGCATACTAGTCCATAGGCTTCTTGAGGGAATGACTTGCTGTCCTCGAAAAGTCATTAAAGGCATCGTTTAAATAGTCCAAGTGACTACAGTGGCTCAATCTTAAGTTTATCAAACGACGAGAACATTTTTGTGCACAAAAACAACAAAAATAACGACTTTATTTCAACTATTCGTTTATTTCTCCCTCTGCCTCGAGTCAGGTTACTAGTTTAACAGCGTAAGCTTCTGTTATTGTACGTCACACGCATCACACACATGACCAGCGTCGGCCAATAGTGAGCCTACGTGTGACGTAGCTTTACGCAATCACACTACGTTAACTGACTACAGGCCCATGGAGAAGGAAGTGAATAGTTGAAATAAAGTCGTTATTTTTGTTTGTTTTTGCGCACAAAAAGTATTCTCGTCGTTTGATCAAGTTAAAATTGAGCCACTGTAGTCACTTGGACTATTTTAACGATGTCTTTGATGACTTTTCGATGCCAGCAAGAGTCATTCCCTCAAGAAGCCTATGGACTAGTATGCAGGAGCGATCTTAATATCTTAAATATCTTAATCTGTGTTCCGAAGATGAACGAAGGTCTTACGGGGTTGGAACAACATGAGGGTGAGTAAATACTGACATAATTTTCATTTTTGGGTGAACTAACCCTTTAACCCCTAGTTGCTCCAGAGGCGTGCGACCTGTGACATATATCAATTGAAAGTTGCTTTAAATAAAAGCGTCAGCTAAATTAATAAAAATGTAAAAAATGTAAAAAATGTGAAGAAACACACTGTCGTTCAAAAGATAGGAGTAAGATTCCTTTGTGCGGACAACAAACATTTTGAGAAATGTGTTCTGAAGCAGATTAAATGTCATAGATGTTTGGAACTACATGAGTGAGTAAATGATGACAGAATTATATATTTTTTGGGGTGAACTATATCATTTTATGTCAGACTTACAAATAAATGGCATTGCATCATATAACAGAAAGTTTAAGTTCCTATATACCTTTTTGAGCTGTTGTATGTTAGTGCAAGTGTTTCTCAGGACTGACCATTGAGAGGGACTCCTAGAAACAGTCTGTTGGAAATGTCCACCACAATGCACCGCAGCAAGTTGAGAATGTCCACTTGTCCCCGAGCATCCGTCAGGTGGGACAGGTCATCCAGGTGTGTGGTTGTGGAAGTGGTGCAAATCTCTAAAGTTCTCTGAAGCCCTGGACCTGTTAGAGCTGATACACACACACACATGCTTAGCACGTAAAACAAACACTGCTAAAATCCAGTGGAATGAAATTAGATATCTAAATTAATTAGTGACAGAGATGTCAAATTTGATCATGCAATGTAATTCCTTGCATATTACCAAAAGCATGCCCACCTTTAGCATAAAAGGTGCGGATTTTTTTCCAGAGCACCACATTTGAGTTGAATATGATGCCCTGTTCATGCATCCCAATACACTGCAGACCTAGTTTGCTCCCAAAGCGTGAGGTGTACAGAGATCTCCTCAACACATGACACACAGCAGATGACCTGTGACGCACACAACATCAGAATAGTACATTCGTGCACATTCGGTTCATTTGTCCTGTAATATTGTGTGATTGGTGCTAACGAGAGACATTTCATTGTTTTGAATGTGCACATGTGTACTTCTAAAAACTACCTGTTGATGTTATAAGATTAATGAAGTGATTAAGGTGACTTCAGTGCACTTGAAAGTACACTTTTGTAATAATGTACATACAAAGTTAAGTACATTTCAATCATTGTGTTTTAATATTTTTATCATACTTTAAAATGTATTGTTATGTGTTGACTAACATGCTTAAGCACATGCAAAGGTCTTGATTATAATTTTACCTGTAGTGAGTTATTCGTTTTAAGTAGTTCACTTTTTAAAAAAAAAAAAAAAAGTAAAAAAAAGTTTTTAAAAAAAAGTACAAAAGTAAAAAAGTAAAAAGTAGTTCACTTAAAAAAAAAAAAAAAAAAAAAACTTTTGCTGAGAATTTACTCACCCCCATGTCATCCAAGATGTCCATGTCTTTCTTTCTTCAGTCGAAAAGAAATTAAGGCTTTTGATGAAAACATTCCAGGATTTTTCTCCATATAATGCACTTTACTGGTAACCAAACGGTTCAAGGTCCAAAAGACAGTTTCAGTGCAAACTGCAAACTGTTCAAAGGGCTTTAGACAATTCGAGACAATGTATAAGTGTCTTATCAAGCGAAACGATCGATCATTAAAAAAATATAACAAAGTTTAAGTTTTATAAGCTCAAATGCTCGCCTTGCTCTGTTCTGTGATGCATGTTTCGTGACTCTCCTGTTCGAACCCATTCATCAAAATGAACAAATCTTTTTTCGAGTCATTTGGTTTCATTCAACGAACGAAATGAGCGAATTGACTCGGAAAAAGATTTGTTCATTTTGATGATCAAGTTCGAACAGGAGAGTCACGAACACGAATCACAGAACACAGCAAGGCGAGCATTTGAGCTTATAAAACTTCAAACTTTTTTTTTTTTTAAATGATCGACCGTTTCGCTTGATAAGACCCTTATTCATCATCTGGAATTGTCTAAAGCCCTTTGAACAGTTTGCAGTTTGCACTGAAACTGTCTTTTGGACCTTGAACCGTTTGGTTCCATTAAGGCTTAATGGAACCAAAGACCCTTATAAGACCCTTATTCATCACAGCGCATTGTATGGAGAAAAATCCTGCAATGTTTTCATCAAAAGCCTTAATTTCTTTTCGACTGAAGAAAGAAAGACATGGACATCTTGGATGACATGGGGGTGAGTAAATTATCAGCAAAGGTTTTTTTTTTTTTTTTTTTTTTTTTTTTAAGTGAACTACTCCTTTAATGTAAATATACACAGTACTAAATTGCAACTTCATTACAAATGTGTAATGATAAATATATTTAAATACACGACAAGTTTCAATTGCTTTTCAGATGTACACTTTAACCATATTTCAAAGACAATAGAAGTAATTATGAAATAACATATAAAGATGCTTTATGAATTCAAACTATACCTAATATAATTAGTTTAACTGTAAATAGCATGCAGTTAAGTGTCTGAAAAGATTACAATCAGTTCACACTTAAGAATATTTTGTCTGTTTAGGAAAAAAAAAAAAGTATGCTAAAGTGCACTTCTTTTTTACAAGGGGTGATGTGTGTGTCAGGACTTACCTGCTCAAGATGAGAGTTTCCTCGCCGTTGATCCAGACCCGCACAATGTCTCCATATTTGCTGTTGTAGTAGTTGCTGGCAGTCCCGATCCCAGACCAGATGAACCGACAGTAAGAGAGAAAAGGACCCAGACCCAGGTAGAAACAAGGACCTGAATAAAACACATTGCAGCAAACAAGTAACTACCCTACCCTACCCCACACCTAAACCTAACCATCACAGCACGTGTTATATTACCGATAACGGGTGCCATGTGCGTATTATAGCGCCGTTTTGTCATATAGCGTTCTATATGACGCTAAAGGATGAGAATGCGTTGGATATAATTAATCAAAATTTATTTCATGCAACAGTTTTTATGACCCATTATAACATAACAATACGTAAAAAATACACCACTGTTCAGTAAATAGTTAAATGTATTGCTAATTATTGTTTAATGTAGCAATTAGGCACATTAATATTAAAAGTGCTCACAGGTGTCTGTACTGTATATAGTCATTTTACATGTATTATGAACATTTATTTATTCGGTAACACTTAACAATAAGCTTAATTTATTAAACATTAGTTAATGTATTAACTAACATGAACTAACCATTTGTTACTGTATTTGTTCATTTTTGTTAACGTTAGTTAATACAAATCTAGCTGTTCATTGTTGTTCATGTTAGTTGCATTAACTAATGTTAACAAGATAAAGTATAATAAAGTATTAGTAAATGTTCAAATTAACAAAGATTACCAAATGCTGAAGAAGTATTGTTCATTCTTTGTTAATGTTAACTAATGTAGTTAACTAATGAACCTTATAGTAAAGTGTTCCCATTTATTCAATCAGAATTTAGACCATCCGTTGTATAAATATACTTAACATGTTATTAGTATACATTGCATAGTCACTAACAAATGATAAAAAGGCAAAACACCACATGATGTAACCATTTGAAACTCAGTTCAGAATTCCAGAACATGCTGCAAAAAAATAAAGGACAAAATTTCAAACAAACCCTACCGACCCGGCACATGAGATTTCTCTGGCCGATGGTGTCTGATGGCCAGCAGAAGGCAAAGTAACAGCAGCAGCAGTGTGGCCGTGGCTCCACACACGTTGTCTTGAGCTCCTTCAGTGCTATTATGGACCCCTTCGACCAGAAAGTCAACCGCAGCCTCGCCAAGACGCACCGGCTTCATTCCACAGGGCTGGAGCAGTTCTGCTGCCATAAGAACGGATGGGAAATCACAGCCTCTTCGAGTCTGAAGCACCACAACTGCAGACATACACTTTTATATCTGAGCGGTTGCATGGGATTGGATCAGGATAATTCAAAAGTCAAAATAAAAACTCAGCGTAACCTTGTGTGATCCTCGTGTCCTTGAGGTTTGAGTTTCCAAAACATTATCATGACACTCGAACCCTCAGCTGTGCCAAACTCATCTCTGAATTTTTATTAAGACATCAAAGACTATGAGAGATATGAGACATCTGTGGCATGACCTTCAGTCATTCTACAGGCTGCAAAAAGGGGCAATTTTTATTGATGGTGTTGATGGTGCTGGACAACAAGCATACGACTCAAATAAACCCAATGCCCCTTTTCTTAGCAAACAAACTACAATTTTCCAATGGTGGAACATACAACAGAATATCAATGGACGGGCACTTTTGTTCAGTAAGCAACCACTTAGCTATACTGGTCATAACAAAAGAAGGACACTTTGCAGGATTCAGCGAAGCCAGGATAAAAACTTATAAAAATAATCCCACTCTTTTTTTTCTTAACCCCCCCTCCTTCTTATTAAATGTGTCCTGTTCTGTTAAATTCTTAAAAAAATAAAATACATTAATTCATAAATTCTTTTAATCTTATGAGGTTAATGCTTTAAATATAAAATAACATTCATATAGAAATATGACATTTTGAAATTCACTTTGAGTCACTGAATCATTCATTTAACTGATTGGTTCAAAATGGCTGATTCTTTCAGGAACCAATTGAGTGTCTTTATGAGTAGGTCATTGAATCATTGACTCAATAGAACAAAGTCCATAAATATTGATACTATATTGTCTAAGATTGTACGTGGAATGATCTTAACTTCATTAACTTAATCTTTTTTTGAAATCAACTTTTTATTGTCTTCAGACTTAAAGGGTTAGTTCACCCAAAAATGAAAATTAAGTCATTAATTACTCACCCCCATGCTGTACCAACCCCGTAAGACCTTCGTTCGTCTTCGGAACACAAATAAAGATATTTTTGATTAAATTTGAGAGCTGTATAACTACCACATTGGCTCCTAAGGGACTGCCTCTTGACGGCCCAGAAAGTCAATGAAGAAAATGTGTTCTTCGCGAGATTTGCGATCTGCTTACACTACTTCAGAGCCGCTCTGCACTACTTCAGATCGCAATTCTCGCGCATGCGTTGTGGAAATCTAAGGAAGTCTCGTTTCTGGCCTACAAGGAAGAAAAGAAATAGTCGAATAAACTCGTTATTTTTTTTTGTTTTTTCGCACAAAAAGTATTCGCGTCGCTTGATAAACATAGTTGAGCCACGGTAGTCACTTGGGATATTTAAACATTTTCTTCATTGACTTTCTGGGCCGTCAAGAGGCAGTCCCTTAGGAGCCAATGTGGTAGTTATACAGCTCTCAAATTTAATCAAAAATATATTTATTTGTGTTCCGAAGACGAACGAAGGTCTTACGGGGTTGGCATGGGGGTGAGTAATTAATGACTTAATTTTCATTTTTGGGTGAACTAACCCTTTAAGACATAACAAAGTAACATCCATTTGAACAGAAAGACAGACAGATAGGGAAAAAGTGGAGCAATATTATAAATAATTTAACAATCTGAAAGAAAAGGGGAAGGTAGGGAAAGGTTCATATGGTCATTCTTTTATATAATCCAATTTTGGGAGAAAAACATTGCCATGCATCAAATGGTAGTTTAGCTTTGTTAATTTGTGCGGTCCCACTTTATATTAAGTGGCTTTACGTACTATGTACTTACATTGAACAATAAGTACAATCTATTATTGTGTTCCTGTTGTATTGTAAAACACTTTTGCTGCTATTGAGGTGTGATATGGGTAAGGTTAGGGACAGGTGTGGTGGTATGGGTTGGTTTAAGGGTAGGTGGTGTGAGGGGAGGGTCATCTGTGTAATTACAAATGTAATTACATAAAGTAATTATAGCTGTAATTACATGCTGGTATTTTTAAAATATAAGTACAATGTAAAAACATGTATGTACACAATAAGTCCATTGTATCAAATGATTAATATCAATGTAAGTATATAGTACTTAAAGCCACTTAACATAAAGTGGGACCATTTGTGCTGCCGTACATTCAGTTACTATTCTATGGAGGCTATGAATCCAATACTGTTTTTGCACACATTCATTAACTTAATCTTAAAACATATATTTTAGCTGCAGGTTCTAAAGGGTTAACACTTCAGCCTTTTAAATTATTCATTTATTCATTCACCTGGCTCAAGGATGGTCATGGTATTTCAGAACTGGCCACTAATTCCTGTCTCAATCCATTATTGTGGTTATTTTATTCTTATAGACTCAGACACACTTTACCACTGTATGTTCACATATTATATTTTGTAACATGGATACTCTTACATTCACTAATATCATTGTTGACACAATCAAAATCTTACCAACCATTCATATTCATTTTATCTTCAACAATCTCTTCACGTATTTCTTATATTATGTCTTAAAGCATCATGATTATTTAGGAATTTGATGGTTTTCATTATTCAATTTAAAACAAAAACAAATTGTTACAGGGAACACAACAGCCATTTTGTGTCTTCAGTTTGCCCTCTTTGTGTGTCTTAATCAGATTCAGAGACATTGTGAATTCACTGAACGCCCACTTTAATCGCTAAAGAATTTATGGAAATAAGCTCTCAGTCAGAGCAGATGCATGCAGCATTCTGGCATTTTCTTTGGAAAGGGAGGGACACTTTAATCAATCCCCCATAATTCCTGATTCCTCAATTTACCACTTAATTTCACACATTCGTTCTCATCTCATCTCTCATTTTCCTCACTTGTTTTTTGATTCTTAGTTATGATTCTTTTCAATATTTCATTCCAAAAGCTTAATGGTTGAAGCCAATGGCAAAAACTTCAGGTTGAGAACTGAAGCTGTAATGTTCCTATAAGTTGCTTTAAATGAGAAACCATTGGCTTAAAACCAATTGACTTACATTGCAAGATTTGTATATTTTAGGAAGAAATTGAGTGAGTTCATCCAAGCAAAACTTGTGTGTAATAAATAATCTAGAAAAGTTCGCTAGATTGTTCTAGGTGTAAGTCAGATATGCCCATCATGCTTAAGTTTCTGTGGTCTTCTGGCCCCAAGATAAAGCACTTTTCAAGTCTATGATTTTTTTTCACAAAGTAAGAGTAATATGCATCTCTTCTCATTGTCTTCATATATGACTGATAGTTAGTTATATTTATTTGTGTATACTGTATCTAATTATGTGACTACATAGAGGTGTACAGGGGGAATTTCTGTAGATGTCAGAATCTCAGGGTGGTCCTCATGAAGGAGGAGTCAACCCTTTTTGAACAGTCAACAACATCATACACTACGTATTTAGGGCTGGAATGTCTTTCTCGGAAAGAAACAAGGAATCTTCCATTCATTTGGGAACAAAGTGTCTGCACATTGAAAGCCACGTCACTTAAATATGTTGTCATTTCAATACAGCCTTTGTGGTCCTTGAGTTTCACAATTCTTCAAATAAGTTGTTTGTCCTCTGTACTAAAACTGGGCAGGAAGCCAAAAAGAAAAGGAATTGTGGGACTGCCAACCATAAATTTATAGATCATTTATGTTGTTTGCTGGTGCTTTCTTACTAAGACATCCAAAAAACTGCTGCTAGTTGTGTTTCCGGAAACTGCATTTTGTGGTGAATATTAGTTACAAAACTCAGAATGTAAAATTTTTCATGATTATGTCACACATGTCTGTAATGTCTTTCTTTATTGTCCATTCACTGAATTACTTCGGCAGCCCATCACTACACACCTGGCTCTGAGGCTGAGCCCTGATCTCTGGGAAGGTTGTGTATGTTCAGCTAAATGAAAGCAATGCTAGCCGCACGACTTATGTGGGTGGATATTTGTTCGGATTCTCGTGAGGAGTGCCAAGTGACAGAGAATAACTGCAATGTTTGAGACACAACGCACAGCGAGAGAAGCCAAACCACTTCCCATTACTGAAGACAGTTCAATGTCCACTCAACTGACCCCTTTTGAGGTCTGAGAGCCTGTTATATAAAAGTCTAGCATAGATTGAAAGTATCTTTTTACAGTTTACATTGTTTAATAATTAATGTGCCATCCCTTTTTATGATCTAGCTTTCCAGAAAAATGTAATATCTTAAATTGAAAGTAAAATATTGTAAATAAAGAGCCATCAAATGAGGTGCAACAAGACTCTGTTTTAGGCTCTTTGTAATTTCCTTTGTGCATGCTCTCTTTATGATATTAGGAAACATGGCATTAGTTTTATTATTATACAGATGACATACATCTTCACAAAACAATAACCATGTTAAGGACATATAAATATTTTTAAATTCCAACAAAATGAGAATATCGATGTTTGTATCAAATCCTTCAAAAAGTAAGCTTCTTAACTACAATCTGTGCCTAAATGTTACATTAGAACACATTATCAGTAGAGCATGTCAAATGGTTGAACCAGAGGTACATGTCATTTTGAACTGGATATTTAAAAGCAATCTTGTCTCTAGTACAGCACGATTTAACTATATTGCCCTGAAGGAACATCCTCTCTATTCACGATGCTGTAAAGTTAGTTCACATTTTCATAAATTAAAAATATGATAATTGAAATTAACTATTGCTAAATGTCAGCATAAAGTCATTTTATAGCTTAATTTGGCCAAAAATCACTGACAAAGTCAAGAAGAGACATTCTGATTCATGTAGATTATTTTACAGACATTACTTGTAAAATATACAGTTGTGTGGAAAAATTCACAATACAAGGAGTCTCAAAATTATGTTTGAAAGATTTAGGATACGTTTACACGACAGCGATGTACCAAAAAAAATCGATGTACTGTAAGTTTTCGCCGGACATGCAACAACATTGTCAGAACGATCCCCATTATAGGTGTACACTATTTTAAAATGGCGCATTACTCTTTTAAAGCACCACTCACCAGACAGTTCAATTCAGAACTGCGGTAATACAAACTTCAACATAAAAAAACGCCATATTCACATTAATGTTGCGGAAAAAACTAAACACGCTTTTAGCGACTCTCAATGTACACTTTACTTCGAAACTGTCCCGAAACATGCACGACGCAACATATTTTGCTTTTTGGAAAAATGTTGCCACAGGTAGGCCTACGTATTTCTAATGAGCCTGTGTTGCTCAAAACAAAGTTTTAGTGTAAATAAACGGCCAAAACTCAGAAAAAGTTTTGGTTTCACTTTATTTTGATATTCCCTTTAACACATTCTGTTTACTAAAAGTAACATTGCGCCTACATCTCTACTCTCTAACTCTCATTGGAGTCTTTGCAGAGTGTTAGTAGTCATACAACAAACGGCTCCTTATTTACCCAAACCTCACAAACTTTCTTAAATCCAGATTAGTTACTTCTCATAAATGCTCATTCTAGCAGCATCAATTTCATTCTGATTTATATAAACCATAATGACTGTCAAAAATTGTGAAGCCAGCTAAAAAGACATGGGAAACATGTGATATGCACTCTAAAAATTGTTGGGTTGTTTTAACCCAACTTTGGGTCAAATAAACCCAGCCATAGGGTTAAATTTTTTAATTAAATTTTTAACCCAACATTTGGGTTTGTCCATATTTGACCCAAAGTTGGGTTTGTGTCTAATATATATATATATATATATATATATATATATATATATATATATATATATATATATATATATATATTTTATGTTATTATTTATATTATATATTTTATTATTTATATATTTTTTATATATTTAAAATATATATATATATATATATATATATATATATATATATTTCATATATATATTTTTATTTATATATATTATTTATATTTATATATTTTAGGCATTTATAGTTTTTTATCTTCCAAATTTTTTTTAACTTCCAAATGTATAACTTCCAAAACATTGTGAGTATTTGATGATCATATTTAAATTGCTATAAGTACACTCTTGCAAAATAACTAGATTTGAGGATAATGCCAATCATTCTCACAAGCCAGACTTCTGGTAACTGTCACCTTGTTGGTCAGTAAAGTTGTACCCAAGAAACTACTCAAAAGTCAGATGAACCTATCTGAACTAAAATGACCTCCACACTCCCTTCAGCGTAAACACATGCTCAGCACAGAACAGACTCAACTCAGCGCTGATACCTTGTTCCTGGCTTGCGTGATCACATACAACTAACCGAGGAGCTTCTAGCCCAGCTTGTATGTTTTATTTGGCAATGACCTACAGCTGCAGGGCAGAGGACCACAAAACACAACAGACGTCATGGCCTCAAACAGCAGTGTACTGTATCAATGTCTATCAGAGGGAACTGGAATCTTTTTAATGCACAAATCTTCTGCTTGTGCATAATATTATTTGTATATATTATTAACATACAACCAATACTGGCATTGCCTGCCATTTCCAATTATACCAAGTGCGAATGTGTTCCACATTCATTATATAACTCCAGAAAGTGAAGACCATCTCAGTGAGAGCGATGTGCTAACTGATATCAGATCAAAACTAGATTAAATCTACAGAAGTGGGTCATGCTGTGTGATATGGGCAATATAAGACTCGCACGCCAGGCCTTAAACTCCAGAACCAGTCTGAGTTCCCTTAAGGGTCTCGGGCTCCTTTAGCTGACATTTACTCACTCTGACATGTTCATGAAATCACCTTGGAGCTGAATCAGTAGTGTTTTGTCTATATTATTCCATTGTCTCATTTATGGACATACCTTTTTTGAGTTTGTCAGCTAAAATGTTTGTTACAATGTATGCATGTTCTGGTGTTAAAAGTTTAGCTGCCCCCCCAAAAAAAGCGTCCATAAAAACACTGGACATTTGGAGATATTTGGACACAGTCTTCATGGAATTTGGACTGTTTTAAAAAAAAGTGTTTGATATCTTTCTGTGGCTCTCAGATTGTGTAGTTTTCTTCCACTTCATTGGCTTTTGGTGTCGATTGTGGATTATGCTGGTCAGCCCACGGTCATGCTGAAGAATGGACTCCACTGCATATAAATCAGGTGACTGCACAAGAGGGGGGTTCTTCTCCAGCGCATCAGGACGGCACAAAGCCCAGCAGCCCTCAGTCGCACACAGACTCGACTCGAAACAAGGACTTCGATTGTCTCACCGCATCCAAAGACTGCCTTTTTTCTAGGAACCAGGGAACATTCTAGACTTTCATAACTTGAAATTTTACTTTGCAGTTTTTGAACACTTTCCGAATTCGAAGTCAGAATGCTGGATCCACTGGCAGAGTTGAGAAGAACCGGAGGCTTTCGGCAATGTGGAGGCCGGTTATCTTGGCAGGTACGCTGGATCTTGTACAGCGTGTGCGTTCTGACGGTGATGAACTGTGCCGGCCTGGTGCTTCTCCTGGTTCAGCAGAGAGACTTGTGGGCTCATCTGACTGAGGTGGAGAGGCAGATGGTGGAGATCTCTCAGAGCTCGGTGGTGGAGTTCATGACACAGGTGAATGAAGATGAAGCAGAGTCTCAATACTCCACCAACAAACGCAGCCGGCAGCATCGAGGGACACGACCCTTCGAGGAGCATGAGGGGAGTGTGGGAGAGGAAGTCTTGGGAGATTTCCAGTATCATTATCAGCAGCAGACGCATGGGCCGGTTTACCAGCGCAAAACAGAAGAGCAAGATGGAATGATGATGATGATGACATACTCCATGGTGCCAGTAAGAAACTCATGCTGACATGATTGATTTATTTTTGTGTATTAATTTCAAACATTTCTCTCCAACCCGATCTCACGGGAATTCGTACGAATTTTTCGAGGTGGCTAATTCGTAACAATTCGTACGACCTCACTTGTACGAATTAGTACGATTTTGCTAAATCGTACATATTTTACGAATAAGTATGAATTCGTACGAATGACCTACCCCTGACCCCGCCCCTAAACATAACCGTCACGTGGGTTTAGACAAATCGTACAAATTCGTACGAGTGAGGTCGTACGAATTAGCCACTTTTGAATCACTCGTACGAATTGGTCGTGAGATAGCGTAGTTTCTCTCATATTGCTCTCTATTTTTAACGGGGTTCTTTATTTTGCTACTATAACCGTGTCTTGCATTGTTTCCTTATGACAAATAATAATGAATAGTTACTATATACACAAATATTTCACATTTTATTATACACTTTAAGAAAAACATCTATAGGAAAACAGAAAAGCCAGGACATTATCTGATAATTCATTGTATAATTCAAAATAAGGGTAAAACACTAAAATGATCTCATATTAACTTAAGAAAATTGTGCCCTATAATGAAGAAACAGAACATGATTTATCTGTTGTAGATAGCGTTTCATAAATATACTGTATACAGCTTTGTCTTGACTTCTATTCACAAACGAACTTGAGGTAAATGCTGGTTCGCTCCTTTAAATTGATGTTTTTAGATTTTCATCAGTTGTTACATGATTCTTCTAGATCATAAATACGTGACTACAAATTGTATGTATTTTTTTTAAACAGGTAAAGATTCTTCTGGACATTTGCAACAGTACTAAAGGAGTCTGTCTGACTGGTGAGCATTTGGGATCTATTACATCACTTTTATTTTTATGACTTGTCGCCTGAATAGTCTTTAAGTTCACAGTTTGGTTTGTTCTTGGCTTCTACAGGGCCACCAGGGCCACCAGGAATTCCAGGTAGGAATGAACTTCTAATGTTATTATGCACTGTTAAAATAAATATTTGATCATAAGTTATGACAACCGATTTCACGGGAATTCGTACGAATTTTACGAGGTGGCTAATTCGTAACAATTCATACGACCTCACTCGTACAAATTAGTGCGATTTTGATAAATCGTACATATTTTACGAATTGGCTAATTCATGTGAATTCGTACGAATGACCTACCCCTGACCCCGCCCCTAAACCTAACCATCACGTGGGTTTAGAAAAATCGTATGACTTCGTACGAGTGAGGTCGTACAAATTAGCCACTTTTTTATCACTCGTACGAATTCGTAGGTTATGACAATATGCTTTTACATTGCTTTAACTCAATGAAATAAGATAAGTCATTTTCAACTTTTATATCAACTTTTTATCTATGTTATACAAGATTCATCACATTTTTAAGCCAGTTTAATGAAATTTAAGTTGAAATAACTTAGAACGTCTAAGTTGAATGTACTTAAAAATTTAAGACAGCAACTTTATTTTTTTACAGTGGTTATATTCTACCAGAAGAAAAAAATAAATAAATAGAAATGCAAATTGCAATACATATTATGTTTTGCATAAATTAAAGGCAGTACTAAAATATCCCCCATGATACAGCCAGTTTAATGAAATTTAAGTTGAAATAACTTAAAACGTCCAAGTTAAATGTACTTCAAATTTTAAGACAGCAACTTTTTTTTTTTTACAGTGGTTATTAAAATGTTTTTAAAGTTTATTCAACTATTTAACATGAAAACGTTTGTACAACTAATGACCCTAGGTTGAGAAAACTCAAAAATGTCCTGCATCATTTTACACTAAATATAAGTAATTTTGACTATTAAATCTCATTAGAGTAGTAGACTGTTAGTTTAGGCCAGGGTTAGGTGTTAGGGTCCGGGTTATAGTATACATTGACATCTAGTTACAAATATACTTATAGTCAGAAGAATGTCTGTTAGGGGACCATCAAAATAAAGTGTTACAGACTGTCTACTAATACTCTACTAATATTCAATGGGAGTTTGTGTGTTTCATGAGATTCATCTATACATCATTGAACCTACACATACGTACGTATGTAATATTCCAAATAAAGTGTTCCTCAAATAATGTCGTCTTTTGGAATTCTAGGCTTGCCGGGTGTGGATGGAATATCGGGGTATAATGGAACAGATGGAATTCCAGGGTTGCCAGGAGAGCCTGGAGCACAGGGAAAACGAGGAAAAAGAGGTCAGCTGTGTGCAAAAGAACATAGAAATCCATCATGCACATGAATGAATATAGTCAAAATGCATTCTTAAATAAAGAAAATGTCCTCCTTTCAAAGCTCTTTTCGAAAATTCGGCAGCTTTTATCATCCTCTCAGGAAGAGGAGAGGGAAATTTATCCTGCTTTCAGTCACACAGCAGGATTCAGAGACTCAAGAAATCTCCCACTGAATAAAGCAGAGCTCATGATAACAGCTGACTGACTCCTCTGTTCAGAGAGCACAAGAGCCCACAGACTTTCTAGAAGGATCATTCAGCAAATCAATTACGAAGCAACTGAATGAAATTCTTTGTAACGTGTTGGAGAGAACACTGGAAAATATTTGATTACAGTTTAACGACGATTCTGGATGTTAAGTTTCATGCGTTAGAATACAGTTTAACACACACACACACACACACACACACAGTTCAGGACTGCTTATCTGGGATGCATTTCCCAAAAGCATCGTCACTCTGTAAGTTGATCATAGAGACCATTGGTGGCAATTGAATTCTACAATCAACTTAAGCTTACGATGCTTTTGGGAAACCCAGCCCTGGATAGTTGGATGTTAAAAGCTGTTTGGAAACAACACCCACCCAGAACACCCTAGCAACCAACCACCTAACCACTCACTTCAATTCATAAAATGTATCTTGATGGTAACAGTTTATTTTAAGGTGACAGCGCATGTACTTACTATAGTATTAACAGTGAATCATGCACAATTAGTAAATAACCAACACTTTATTTTACATTGTCCTGTGTTTCACTTTATATGTAGCTATTGTAGTAATAACTATACATTATGTATAGTTATAACCCTTATAGTAAGTACATTATTATTATATACAGTAAGCTTAAAGGGTTAGTTCACCCAAAAATGAAAATTCTGTCAGTATTTACTCACCCTCATGTTGTTCCAACCCCGTAAGACCTTCGTTCATCTTCGGAACACAAATTAAGATATTTAAGATATTAAGATCGCTCCTGCATACTAGTCCATAGGCTTCTTGAGGGAATGACACTTGATGGCCTCGAAAAGTCATTAAAGACTTCGTTAAAATAGTCCATGTGACTACAGGGGCTCAATCTTAAGTTTATCAAACGACGAGCACACTTTTTGTGCGCAAAAAACAACAAAAATAACGACTTTATTTCAACTATTCATTTATTTCTCTCTCTGCCTCGAGTCAGGTTACTAGTTTCATAGCGTAAGCTTCTGTTATTGTACGTCACACGCATCACACACATGACCAGCGTCAGCCAATAGTGAGCCTTCGTGTGACGTAGCTTTACGCTATCACACTACGTTCACAGACTACAGGCCCATAGAGAAGGAAGTAAATAGTTGAAATAAAGTCGTTATTTTTGTTTGTTTTGGCGCACAAAAAGTATTCTCGTCGTTTGATAAACTTAAGATTGAGCCCCTGTAGTCACTTGGACTATTTTAACGATGCCTTTAATGACTTTTCGATGCCAGCAAGAGTCATTCCCTCAAGAAGCCTATGGGCTAGTATACAGGAGTGATCTTAATATCTTAAATATCTTAATTTGTGTTCCGAAGATGAACGAAGGTCTTACGGGGTTGGAACAACATGAGGGTGAGTAAATACTGACAGAATTTTCCTTTTTGGGTGAACTAACCCTTTAATACTTATATATAATTACACTGCTGTAATAAACGCTAGGCTTTGAATGGTTTGAGATCTGTGCTTCATGGAACTATGAATATATGATTTTTTACTTCTTTGTACTTGTATTCAGGTCCTCCTGGTGAGAATGGGAACCCTGGTGATAAGGGAGAACAAGGACATCCTGGACCCCCAGGACCCCCTGGAGAGCAGGGCGAACCTTCAAATGATGTCATTGTAGAGGGTAAAGACCAGTTCTATTTCTGTTTTTAAGCAAGACGGTACAGTATGTGTGGCTATAGGTGTAGTCACAGCTAAAGACACGACGACATTCACAAAATGAGCAGCACTTTGAGTGCAATGTTGCTTTTATAAAAGCATAAAAAGTTTTTTATTACTATGTTATTTTAACGTCATTTTTTCTATAAGAAGTCCTGCCATCTATATAGATGTGCCTTTTTTGACCACAAGTAACAATGTTGGTGTGATAAGTGAGCTTTTGCTCTAACCTGTAGGTCCACCTGGTCCAGTGGGACCCCCTGGCCTTCCCGGGCCGTCAGGTCCTCCAGGTCCTCCCGGGCCCCCCGGACCTCAAGGGCCACCGAGACACAGGAGCCACAGGGCGAATCTTCACACAGGGAAGGAGTCTGTGGGTGAGTGAGTTGGGTCTGAAAATGACTAAACTGGTGAAATATGCATATTCATATTTCAAAAAAAAAAAGGCCATTTCATCTTTCACCATTATTTTATTATTTTAAATTATATAAAAAAAGATATATTTAAATTGAAATACATTTGCAAACTACAATTGTAAATAGTTTGTGCTCCATTATTTTTCTTACATTTTTGGATTACAGTATTTAAACACTATAAAGTATGGTAACACTTTAGATTAGGGAACACAATTTGTTTTTATTTATTAATTAGCACCTAATTAGCATTGCACATTAAAGCTAATGGCTGTTTATTAGTACTCATACAGAACATATTTATGTCTTATTCTGCGTGACCACATTCTAGATCCCTTTATCCTACACAACAACTACTTACTATCAATAATTTATTGGGGGAATACTTTTCAATAATCAGTTTACTCATTTTCTTTATGCTTGTAATGTGAAAGTATTTTTCCTGAAACCAACCAGGACACCCTAGAAACACTAAGAATGGCACCTAGCAACCAATCACCACTCACATCACTTTGGAAATTGTATCTTGACATTTATGGGATGTTTATTACATGACTTTTGACCATACGTCAACATCAGACATTTTAGGGTACCCTTTAACGTCAGTTAGTAGTTAGATGACGCGGGTAGGTTTAGGTCTGGGGTAGGGTTAGATAGCGTCATCTAACTGACGTTAAAGGGTGCCCTAAAGCGTCGGATGTTGACGTATGTTCAAAAGCGTCAGTTAGATGACGTCTTGGGATGAGAACGGGCTGCCATAAGATGCATCATAATATGTAATAGTATATGTAATATCTTTGTTTATTTTAGGTCACCTTAATTCAGTCCCAAATGATGATACTATCAGCCAGAAAATGGCATCATGGAAGAAAAACGGTAACAACTACAGTAAATGATTAGATGTTCTACGTTTTTACACACAACAACGGCCTTTATTAAACTTTAGATTGGACCGTGTTTGTGTTTGGCAGACTGTGTTATAAAGTCGGTGCAGAACCCCAGACATCTGATGAAAATGAGTAGCACGTTTGGAGCTTGGATGATGGACACTGCCACTCGCGATGATGAGAAGATTTGGGTAGCAGAACATTTCTCAGGTACTGAAGAAAGAACTAATACAGCATACACAACAAATACAGAAAACCTGCAACTCTTGAAGAGCATGACCCCATTTACTCCCATTTGCGCGTTTTAACTGTAACCAGAATGTTTTAATCTCTGGAAAAAAAAGGAGTAGAAAATTATTGTGTACTAAATGCTGATGCCTTGTATTGGACCTAGAACATTTCTTTGTTGCTCATTTCAAGTTCACGAATGCTATGTTTTTTTCCCAGGTCGTATCATAAAGCAGTACAACAGTATTGCAGCGATCCAGAACAGCAGCAGCGAATCCATTGATGTCCGGAAGTTTTTCCAAGGTTGCGGCCACACTGTACATAACGGCTCCATATTCTACCACATCGCTGGAACTTACAATATTGCTAAGTATGTTTGAAGACAGCATGGGATAATATTATGGTGAACTTAAAAGTGCTTAAATTGAGACCCCAAAAAAGAAAAAAAAAAAATATTCCTTTATAATTTACACGCACTCATATTGCTGCAAATGTATGGAGGAATAGGAGTGGAAATAAACAACCCGATCTCACGACCAAGTCGTACGAATTCGACGAATGATTAAAAAGTGGCTAATTCGTAACAATTCATACGACCTCACTCGTATACGAATTAATACGATTTTACTAAATCGTACATATTTTACGAATTGGCCAATTCGTATGAATTCGTACGAATGACCTACCCCTTACCCCGCCCCTAAACTTAACCATCACGTGGGTTTAGACAAATCGTACGAATTAGTACGAGTGAGGTCGTACGAATTAGCCACTTTTTAATCATGCGTCGAATTCGTACGAATTGGTCGTGAGATAGTGTTGAAATAAAAATAAATTGAAGAGATTAACTATCAGTTTATTGATAAAAAAGTTAAATAAATCACTTGTCAAATGGAAACCATTTAAAACCATGCATTTAACTGATGTTTAAAAATTGTTGTTAAATGTAATAGTGAAATAAAAAAATAGAGACATTTAAATATAAATGTAAAGCATTAGTTAAATGTAAAAACAAAAATAATGCATGAATTACTCCTTAATACTTATTTTATACTAGGTTTTGATTACTCATTGCTAACTTGGCCTAACATTGGATTCATATTTTTTTTAGGTATAATTCAGCCCAAAAATGTAGTTAATTTTTACAGTAGTACAATTTACATTTATGAACAACCAATGAACTTTTGGCTGGAATTTACGACATGCTCCTTAAATATACAATGGCCTCCAGTCAAAGCAAAATGGTAAAAATTTAAACATTACATAGGTCTAAATTTACATTTTAAACATCTATTTTCTTTTTTTAAAATTAAAACATTAATAATTGATTTTCTTTGTAGGCTGCACTTCTAGTCTATACAAACTTAGATGGAACACGAAATAAGAAATATTGCAGATGACCTAAGTGCTCTTTTCCATAACAAATCTTCCAACCCGATCTCACGACCAAGTCGTACGAATTCGACGAATGATTAAAAAGTGGCTAATTCGTAACAATTCATACGACCTCACTTGTACGAATTAATACGATTTTGCTAAATCGTACATATTTTACGAATTGGCCAATTCGTATGAATTCGCACGAATGACCTACCCCTTACCCCGCCCCTAAACCTAACCATCACGTGGGTTTAAACAAATCGTACGAATTAGCACAAGTGAGGTCGTGCAAATTAGTACGAATTAGACACTTTTTAATCATGCGTCGAATTCGTACGAATTGGTCGTGAGATAGTGTTGAATCTTCCCCATCTGCCATAACTCTCAAATTTCATATGAACATCACAGCTTTGGAAAAACATGAGACAGAAAGCATTTTCTCAAGTATATCTGTTATATACAATCTTCTTATAACTCATCCTGTCAATTCTCCAATCATTTTAGGTTTGACCTCCAGACCAAGATCTTACACACGCTGAGCATTGACAACGCCCTCTATCACAATCGGTCCTACCTCCTTCAGAACTCAAAGACGTATTTCAAATTGGCAGCGGATGAGAACGGTATGTGGATCATATTCGCCTCCAACATTGACGACAACATCATGGTGGCGCGACTGGATGAGAAAACGTTCTCCGTCACCACTTACATCAACACCACCTATCCCAGGACCAAGTGCGGTAATGCGTTTATCGCCTGCGGGATCCTCTACGTCACGGATTCTAAAGACACAAAGGTGACGTACGCCTTTGACCTCCTGAAAGAGAAACCTGTAAGTGTAAGTTTGGATCTGAGAGCACCTGGAGGGGTTCTGTCCATGATCTCATACAATCCCAGAGACAAACATCTCTACATATGGGACAGCAGCTACGTCAAGTCATACCAAGTTCAGTTCTTCTCAGATGAGTAATCAAAACTGAGGGTGTGTTCACACTTGGCAGGTTTGGTTCGATTAAAACGAACTCGAATGGTGCCGTTGCTCTATTAGTGCGGTTCATTTGAATGAGTGTGAACGCCATTCGAACCCTATTGCGCACCAAGCAGGCCGAGACCCCTCAAAAAGTGGTATCGGTCCGCTTGCAAAGAACTGTGGTGCAATTCGACTGAAATACGAACGCAACGCAGACCAAAGACATCTAGACGAATCAAAAACAGACGTGATGTCACACAATGCATCCCTAAAATGGACGGAATGATCAAGGATACTTGTTTTTCTCGTCATAGTCGCAATGTTGCCTATTACGCTTCAGGATAGGCGTCAGAACCGCCATCTCCTTGCGGCAGATCTTTGTTTGTGTGTGTGACGGGCTGTTTTCAATCTTTTGCACTTTTCATAAGCAGTTCTCAGCTGGTAAAAATACCAAGATATGTACGCACATACAACTAGCGCATTTAGCACATCACACAGTTTTGGATGTTCGGCAAGTTCCGTCATAAAATATACGCCACAAAATAACTTTGAGAACTGAACTACAAGTGTGAACACACCCGTAATTGCAATACATAAGTGTGTGTGTGTGGGTTTTTTTTTTTGTGTGTGTGTGTGTCATGTTCATGTATATTTATAAGCAAATAATAATTAATGCTTCAGTTGTTACCCTTATTTTTTTTTCTTGAGTGGATAATAGATCAAGAATAAATGATTGTTCTAGTGATACCTGTAAGATGTTCATGTGAAATATTTGGATACTTACTGTAAGCCATGCTTAAAACTTGATATCATTCCATTAGAAATGTCAAACCAGCAAAATAAATCACACATGGTTTTATAATTGTAACCTAATGTAATGATATTCAGGCATTTTAAAACATGACTTGAGAATCCAAAAGCATTTTGGGGATACTATATTTATTTAATTTTTGGTATAATTTTCACTTTTAAAAGTTGCATTTTCCTTCTTTTTGGCTAATATGCATTTTTAAGTGACTATTTGTTGATTCATGCAACACAAGCAGAGCTAATTTTGGTGCAAATTGTTTGCAAAACCATTTGCAAACCATAAATTGAAATGGTTTTACAAAAAGTTTTCACAGAAATGAATTCTCCTTGTTTCATGAATGAGACCAAGCAATGTAAATAATAAATGGAATTTCTATGTACGCACTATGAATTTAGTAATTTCTGATATATATTACCACTGGTGTGATAATTTTTTTTTTTTACCACCAGCCGACATTTTTTGAATGGGACATGGTCTGACGGTCAAATTCAATCTCCAAAACATCCTCACAAACCTACACGTTAGTGTACCATTTACAATTTTTACCATTATTTTGCTATTTGCTAGTATTATTTTCTTTACAGCCATTCTGATGTCAATTGGAATGTCGTTTCAGTGCTGGAGTAGGTTTGGAGTAAGATTACAAAAAAAACGATATTTCTTTGGACATGCACTTATGAACCCTATAGAATTTCAGATGTGCATTAAGTAAATGAGGTGTATTTTGATTTCATGTTGACTTCAAGTTGTGTTACATTTTTAGTAAGTCTGAAACCAAATATATTTGCTAAATATTGTTTCATTTATATTGCATGCATATGTATCTACAAATGATTGGAAATCCTGAAATAAACCCTGAAATATGTTAATCTAAAGGCGTGTTGAGTTGAAATAGTAAAAGTGAAATGGCTTAATTCAAATAAAAAGAATTTATTCAACTTACAAAGGTAAAACTTTGACCATGACAGAACTACCCGTTCCTTCGGAAATATCAACCAGTGTTTTTAGGGTTTGCATTTTTCACACACACACAGACAGATCAGGCTGTTCAATAAATACACATCAGACCATCGGTTGAACATTTAAAATACGTACAGTTGACATGGTGCCCAGCAAATCAGACAGAAACACAAATATGATTTTAATAAATACCACATACATCAAACCAAATATACGACTATTCCAGCAGTTAAGATAAAATCCAAAAAATAAAACTAAAAGCATTATTGTGTTTGTACAAGCTATTGTTGTAGATCAATTTTATATTTATATATTTATATATAATAATTCATTTAAAACTATTTTCACTTTTTACTACTCGGCCACACACAGCCAGACATTCATTTGTAAATAACAGTTTCCTCTAGTAGAGCTTTTACCACTTGTAACGCAAGATTGTTATTGTTTCCCCAGATCTGAGTGCAAATTTTAAGAACAGATAAAACATGAAAAAAATAAATACGTAAATAAATAAAAACACGAGCGTGTTGCACTTTGTCCCATACATCTAAAACAAACCTTACATTCCTAAAGTTAAATATAAACACAAGCATTTGTAAAAGAACAAACAAAACAAAACAAACCAATACGTTGTGCAAAAACGAAACGTTGTCGGTTAAAAGTGAGAATTTCAGGGCTTGAAAAACGAAGAGGTGAAACGCGTCATTTCCAGGAGCAAGCATCATCGTCGCGTTGTCGACGTCCTGCGTGGGATGCTTAGCTGTTTGGCTGCTACGGAAACAAGCGTGTCAACAGCAGCATGTGTGCGCGGGGAAGGAAAGGGTGTGTGTCTCTGGGGCCGGGCCACCAGGGTACTGTGCCATTTTACACTCCGCAAATACATTAGCAGCCAAGGAGAAAACGTACAGTAAAAACTAAATCCAACGACTGGACTTACACTGATAGCAGAAGCACAGTGCTGGTATTTTAGATGCTAAAATGGCCACAAAATGAAGACACACACACACATACACACTTAAAAATGGAGCTTTGAGCACTTTTACGGAGCACGATCAATAACCTGGGAATGGAGTGCGATGACTCAAACAGCTCATGCATACGGCTTTCCTACAAACACATCATCCGGATCCGTCTCCGGGAATTACAGTACCTCGTGCGTGTTTTCCAGCGTCTTTTCGTGAGGGGCGGGACGGTAAGGAGATTCTGCAGCGCGAAGATATTTGTTACCGGTTTACGATTCACAGCTAAGGAAACGAAGAGGTGCCGACGAAAGCATTAGTGTTCTACGGCAGCTCCGGTGTTAGAGGATCTGGAAAATACTGGCCGGAATGTTGTAGCGGTCGGGAAGGACCCTCATCTTCAGGGTCCCGTCGGCTCCGCAGGTGAAGATCCGGTTACCTGGGCAGGTTTCGATCTTCATCACCCCAGCGCCGATGTTTCGGAATATGGACTGTTTAGCGTGCTCGGTGCTGAAGGAGTGCATGAGACCGTGACCCGCCAACTTCCAGACCTGAACCAGAACAGGAAGACAATTCTTAGTAGTGATGTCACATAATGCATTTTTCACAGAGATTAAAGTTTCCAAATATACATTACATAATAAAAACAACAGGTTAAGAAAAACATAATGAATATGTAGTGCTTTAGCTAAATGTCATTTATTTCTTGCCAACTAAAAAGTTGAATGGCTTTCCTGAGGTGAATGTAACATTACGTAACAAGCTGTTTTATTGACATCTTTCAATGATTACCTGAAACATGATATATTTAGTTATGTTGTATGCATCTTTAAACATATCTTTGGATGTTCCTTCGTGTTTATTTTGTGCTGTAACTAGTAAAAAATTCTGTCATGGCACTTTAAATAGCGTCAAAACATTCACTGTTTAAAGTTCATTATAAACCTGACAGAATTTAAAGTTAAGACTTTTGTTTCATATCAAAAGCATCAAAACACAAAGCTTATAGCGATTATCGGATGGAAGGCGCTACAAATAATGTTTAGTAAAGTTTTATTTACGCGTGAACTGAAAACAGCATAGGCTAAGAGATCTCGGTTCGTAAAAATAAAGAGATTTTAATAAAAAATTCATACTGTCAACCAAGCCCAAGCATCCACACAGCTGATGTGTTTACCTGTCATAGCTTATCTGTTTGCAAAGACTTTATTTTATTAGACTACGTTGTTTGATTAAATGCCACCATTTCGGGCAACGGTTTGAGTCCTCCAAAAAATTTTGATTGCATTGCTAGTTATTTGTTATAAAAATTATGGAATTTAGAGAATCTACTGACAGGTAGCCATGAGTACTGCATGATAATTTGTCATTTGTATAGAGATAAAAGGAAGGCTATTGTTTGCAGTTTTCAGATACCGCCTAAACCGAGGCCAAGACCAAGACCGAGACCAGAGCGAATCGAGACCAAGACAAGACCAAGACCAATGGCGCTTTTCCAATGCATGGTACGATGCGGCTCGCTTTTCGGCTCTGCTCACTTATGCCGCATTTCCACTGCATGGTACGGTACGGTATGGCTTGCTTTATATGGTACCTGGTCTGTTGAAGTTCCAAACGTACAGTACCGGTACTGAAATGTGACGTAAAATACTGCAGATCATTGATTGGTCAGACAGAATCGTCACTACCAGCGTCATTGTATTTGCGACCAATAGACATCAACACGGGAAAACAAACACGCTAGATTTAAATAGCCAGTAACAGCCACCACTGTTATCAATCAGTCTATAATCCAACCCACTTTAAAGCGGTACTAACTGCAGTGGAAAAGCAACCGAGCTAAAGCTAACCGAGCCGTGCCGAGATGAGTCGTAACACGCAGTGCAAAAGCGAAGAGAGCCGGTGCTGCAAGACCGAGACCAAGTTGAGACCAAGACCAAGACGGGACCAAGCCCGAGACCAAGATCGAGACCAAGACCAAGTCGAGACCGAGACCAAGACCTAGACCGAGACCAAGTCGAGACCAAGACCGAGACCAAGTCGCGACCAAGACCAAGTTGAGACCAAGACCAAGCTGAGACCAAGTCGAGACCAAGACCGAGACCAAGTCGAGACCGAGTTTTCTCATGTGACTAGCGCACTGTCTTCACTCGGTCGTGCACTTCAATCCGTTGCGAATATCATTGTGGATATTGTAGTATTGTATTGCTAAACCACTATGTCGGTCTGAGACAGTAGGCGCATTTCAATTACAGATTTGCGCAAAACTTTTGCGATATTTTCCAAATGTCGATAAAAAACTATTGCGAAATGACGGTGTTTCCATTAACCGATGTTATGCGACTAAAGCGTCTTTTTTTTTCCTCTCGCGATAAGCCATTCCAAAAATCATGGCAACAGACTTTGGTAGGTTTATAACCTATTTCACAGCCATGCACCGCACTCGACATTATTATTATTAATGGAAGGAAGGTGACATGGTGTTATCCAAGCATTAATGGCAGGGAAAGACACAGAGTTCCTGGGTGTTTCTCCCTTATTTCTACTTCGATGTCTTGATGGCATTTCTTTGAGGTTTAGAGAGGCTATTCCTGAAATTATTGTTTCTTGTTTTTTTTAAAATTAATTTAATAAAGAACTCTATCTCGAATTATGTCCCAAACGGTCGTTGCAAAACGAAAAATTAACGGTTGTTGTATTTTTAAAACGCAAAGTTGAACACCAACATTTTAGTTTGACCACACCAATAGCAGCCTGCGCTATATACATCTCAACGAATTTTCAGATATTTGTTTATGACTTTTTGCCCCCTTTAAAACATTTAAAATATTCACAAATTAATATGGGAAAAAAATGTAGATTTTACTAGTTTTCTAAGGCCAAAATAGAACCTGGATATTTATG